GATAGAGAAATTTTGCACAAGGATTTATAGTGGTTTGACTTCTCAATTAAGTCCACCTTCACTACTTAAGCTCCTCACTTAGAATTTTCTAACAAATTCACTAATTTGTTTTTTTTTCAAGGATCAAGAGATAACATTTACATTCCCTATCTTTTCACTTGGCTAAGATAGAACCAATCCCCTTTTACAAAAGGTAAAAAGAAGTAAACAATAAAATCTCTCAAATGTAGGGTGTTTACAATTTTAGCTCATTAAAAACACAAATATTTACAAGAGAGATAAAATAAGATTGAAAAACTCTTCTCTTGTGTTTGATTGCTTGGATAGGTGTTCTAACCCTTCTTCAAATGTCATCAACTTATATTTATATGTTGGAATGAAGTTGTGGTCATTTATATCCGTTGGGGATGATTTGGAGCTGTTTGGGGGATGTTTTCTCTGCAAAATAAAATGGCCCATTACAGAGGGTATCGATACTCCTAAAGGGAGTATCGGTGCTACCTTTTTTATTTTGAAATCAACTAGTCGTTATTAGCCGTTGGGGTATGATGGTATCAATACTATGCCTATAGTATCAATACTACTATGTAAAGTAGTATCGGTACCCCTTTGGGTATCGGTGCCATTTTTGCATTCTAGAATTTGAGCAATGATGGTAGTATCGATACTACCTAGTGAGTATCGATACTTCCCTTACCTTTGGTATCGGTACCATATGAACAATATTGATATTATTCATGAGGTATCTATACTGTAAGAATAGTATCGGTACTGCTTGTCCAGAAAACATTTTGTGCTCAATTCCAAGTTAAATGAACTTTTAATTATTTTTGAAAACTTTGAACAAATTCAATTCATGTCCTTGTAACATTTTGCCTTAAATTGTTATATCAAAATATAGTTCAACACATATGACATCCATCCTTATTCTTATATTGTAATATCATTAAAAAGGGTCGACGTACTCAGGTTGTACTCCATAATCTATATGGTCGTTACACTGTTTAAAACATCACTGGTGATTTTAGAACTTATCCAAAGGTATTCATTTAATCCAAGTCACGAGGGTATTTAGGTTATTTTATAGCTCGAGGTAGTTTGGCCATTTTAAAACTTAAGTATTTCAGTCATTTTAATCAATTCAGTCATATAGAGTACTTTCGGTAAATTAGTCTTCGGGTGTTGCTCAAAAATCATAAATTTTAGATCATTAGCCTTCAGAGAGGTTAGAAATTGACTGTCACAAATGTTCCAAACATATCAAGAATTTAATAAGTAAATCGATAGCCTTATAGGACCAAAATTTAAATTCTTAGGTTAATCCCACCATTAGAGGCAATCTATATCCTTTTTAAACTTTAAGGGTACTTTTATTATTTCTCATCCAAATATTTACGGTAATAAAACTCTTAATAGGAAAAATCAAAATTTATGGTTCATAGGTTAACTTCACTCAACTTAAAAATATATACCGATCCTCTGGTTCCTTATATGAGTCATTTGAGTATAAATCAATTTATTAACATTATACCAAAATCGAAGTAAGTTTAAAATAATCAATCATAACTCATGCCAAATCATATTCATTCATGCACTAACCAATTACCAACATGTACATAAAGCATGCGTAGAATAGTAAAGTATTACCTCGATTCTTGTGCTACATCGGTAAGTCATTTAACACCACTTGATTATTCTTAAACTTTGAGTTTGATGTCCCATAATATCTCGGATACATGGGAAAAAAGAATTGCATCATAAACAGAGCTTAAACGTATAAATCAGATCGAATGAAAAGATAAAACACTGAAAAACAACTTATTGAGTTCAAATTTGGCAAAATGGACCCTAAAAACAAACTCAAAACATAGAAAAACATCAATATATGTGATATTGAAAAAGTCAACGATCGGTCAACAACCAACAGTCAACAATCAGTTCTCAACAGCTTGGTTCGATTGGACGGGTTCAGTTTAGTTCGGTTGGGTCGGATCAATAGGTGAGTCAGGTCGAACGAGTTAGTGGGTCGAGTTGACCCATTTTAATAAGGTCCACCATGCAATGGACAAGCCCCACGCACAACAACGACAACTGGAGGTGCGTGCAGTGGTGGTCTTGGTCGGAAAAATTAGAAAAAAGTTTAAAAATCATTTTAAGAGGTTTTGTGACACATACCAATCTTGGTTCACGACGGAGAATGACAAAGAGCTTGATTTCGAATTGTTAGAAGCTTGCATTATCTCACCCCTCCACACGCCGACGATAACGGCTACAAAGCGGACATCGATGGACTTGAGACACAAGGAGTCCAATGGTACGAGCAGTGTCGTAAACGGAGCTACGGTCGACGACGAAGCGTTGTTTAAGGTTTCTTGGCTAAAAGTTTCCAAAAATGGAAGTGAGAGAAAGATTTGCATTTAGAGGTGTTCAAACGGTTAATTCAATTAACCGACTAAACCGAATTACCCAAATTTTATTAACTGTTTTTTTTTTTCACATTAGCCGTTAACCGAACCGAATTTTCTCAAAACAATTTAACCAAATCAAACTAAGTTCAGTTAATTGGTCAGTTAATCGAAATTTATAAATAATATATATTATATGTTAAATAGTTAATATTTTTAATTTATTTAGTTAATTATGTTCAAACTAAAGTTTAAACACTCCTAAAGCTAAGTAATATATATATAATATTAAATATTTAATAATTTTAGTTAGTTTAGTTAATTAACTGATTTCGAATCGGATTAATCAAAATCGAAGTGTGAACAAAATTATTAACCGTTAACCGACTGAACCCAAAATTAACCCACTGATTAATCGTTGACCCCTATTTGCATTTCTAGAAATGAAAAGTTTCTCGTTTGGAGTTTTAAACCCTACATATTTGAAAAAATGGAAAAATTATACCATAGGTCTGGCAATTTTTTGTTGTTTTCTAAATTTGCCCCGAATTTGATTAAAAATTCAGTTTGGTCATCAAATTTAACTAAAATTTCAATTTAATCCCCGAAATAAATTTAAGAAAAAATTTAACCCCTAAATTAGAGTGTCACCAGATGTGAAAAATTGATTTTTTACTCGAGTTTGAAGGTCAAATTATTTTTTAAAAGTTCAAGTTTATTTAATTATTCAAACAATATTTTAAGTTTAAATTTTAAAATAAAAATATTACAAAATGAAATATAAATATTAAAAATTATAAAATATTAAATATATATTAAAAACACTAAAAATACAATTAAAAATATAAAAAAAAATTAAGAATATATATCACAAATTATAAAATGATGAATTACAATTTATTAAAAACTATATATATCTTATTTAGATATTTGTGTACAAGTGCATGTCATATCATGTTTTCATTATTTTATTATACTTTATATTTAATCATTAACATGTGATATTTGGTATTTCCCCCCCTTTTTGTCCAATATTTTTTATGTTTAGATCGAAATTGTTGAGTCACAAGACTCAATTTTTTTTTATTTTCTTTTTTGAGAACAAGCACCACATGATTTTTTTTATAGGTGGGGTGAGATCAAGTCGAGTAGATATTTGAGTTTATAAGTCTTATTTCTATAATTTAAATTTTATTTGAAAAAATTTCAAGTCGAATCGAGTTATTTGAATTTCTGTTTAAATTTAATTATAAATATTTATAATATTGTGGTACTATTTGTTTCAAATTTTTATGGATTTCTATAACCATATACAATATATATACAGAGTTGAGGATTTTGACTCAAATTTAAAAAATAAAGCCACTAATTACTAAAAAAATTGAGTTTTATTTTATAGCTCGACTCAAATTTAAAAATTTTTTGAGTTAAGTCGAGTTTATAAAATTACAATTTGAGTCAATTTATTTTTGAGTTGAGTCAAATTGAGTCAAATTTTTTAAATTGATTTCAATCAGAAAGATGAATTTTTCAACTCGAGTTGTGCTCACCCCAAATTTATAGCATCTTTTTTTTATCCGATGCATTATTAATGTTTCACATATGATTAGTTGATACAAATATTGTTTTTTTATTTTTTAATATATATTTTTTAATATTTTAGTAATTTAAGTTTTTTTATATTTATTTATTGATTTTTAAATATTCAAATATTTATATTTATATTTTTAAATATTCAAATATTTTTATATTTTAGATTTATTTTTTTCTAAAAGTTAAATAAACCCTCTAATTTTAAAAGATTAACTTGACTGTCAACTCAACAAAAATATAATTCAACACATATGTTATATCTTTAATTACTATAGACTGCTACGACAATATTATTGAATACCATATTAATATTGTGAACAATCACATCAACATTATTGAATGTTACATCAACGTTATGAATTATACCTAAAAATAATTTGTTGATGATAATTGTTGATCAAAAGATCATATTAATTTTTTTTTTGAATTTAAAGATCCCATTGAATATAAAAATAATTTTAGGGTTGTGTTGTTTCTTTGGGTAAATTATACATTTAGTACCTAAAGTATCAGTTTTGGTCCGTTTTAGTACTAAACTTTAAACTTTTTTAAAATCATACTTAAAGTTTAGTTTTTGTTTCATTTTAATATCTCTGTTCAAAATTTAACGTTAAATTTTTTAAAAAAATTGAAAGTTTAGGTACTAAAACAAATCAAAACTTATACTTTAGGTACTAAACGCGTTAAGATTTTAATGGTAGGTACTAAAATGAAATAAAAATTAAACGTTAGTAATGAGTTTGAAAATTTGAAAGTTTAAATATTAAAATTGGTCAAAACTGATGGTTTAGGTATTAAATTCGTAGTTTATCCTTCTTTTTGGAAGGTTTGATGGACTAATGATTTGGATTCCTTCAGCAGCCCAAAATTAAGCGGGCCAAATAATTTGTCATGCAACTCATCTAAATGGAAACAATCTTCACCGTTGACTTTCTCTTATAAAACGCACGTTTAGGGTTTGCCAAAAGCTCTCGTTTCTCTTCACTCTCTCGGAGCTGCAAGCCTTGTGCTCAAAGCCATGGTAAATCTATCTCCTCACAATAATCTTTTATCTTTACATATTTCTCAAATTTTCTCATTTCCTTTTGGTATTCTAGCATCTCTCATTTCAATTACAAATCTGCTTTTGTATAATGTTTTGAAACAGATTTTAAAATCAGATCCATGTTTTGTTAATGAAAACATGAAATATTGGATTCATGTTCCTAACGTTGTTAGGATCTTGTTGAGAAAAAGAATCAATAAATTGAAGTTGTTTATTATTTTTTATTGAGAAGATTTAGGCAATGTTTGGTTCATAGGTTTGCAATTTCATCTTTTGCTTCCAGAAAGGAAATGGAAATGAATGTTTTAATGGAATAAAACTTCGCCTACTGATTATTATTTTTATTGCTTTAACGTTAAAATTTTATGGTAGTAAGTATTGGATAACTCTTGTTTGATCTATATTTCGACTTAGAAACGGGGGTTTAAGTATCATAGTACTTAACAATTTTATAGGTTTATTTGTGTTGAAATGTCTATCATAGTGCTCCCTATTTTTTCTAAGTCGGTTAATTTTATGGCTTAGCCTTACGTGAAAGCTCAAAAGTCTAAGGCATACTTCAAGCGATTTCAAGTTAAGTTCAAGAGAAGGCGAGGTATGATACAAATACCTATGCTTTGAATAGTGTTATGAATTTCTATTACTTTTGTTGTGTTTATAATTATATCTTGACATTGTAGAGGGCAAGACTGACTACCGGGCCAGGAACCGTCTTATCAATCAGGATAAGAACAAGTACAATACCCCAAAATATCGGTTTGTTGCACGATTTGTATCCTTATAACTGACTGACTGCCTGCCCTGTTTTCCGTCATTGTTGTTTGGGGTATGATGTGGGTAGTATTCAACAATTATTTATCTTCTCCAGTGAAAATTTTGGTTGCATGGTCTGATTGTTTAGGCTTCTAAAAGTTAAGACATAACGTGAGATTTTTTATAGGCAATTACATGTGCTGAATATGTTAATTATTCTTTCTTCCCTACATATTTTCCCTGTAAACATTTGTGTGCTGTTGGTGAATGTTCTAATCTTAACCATTTATTAGACCAACAAGGATATAGTTGCACAAATTGTACATGCTAGTATTTCTGGTGATATAGTTCTTGCAGCAGCATATGCTCATGAACTGCCTCGCTACGGACTTGAAGTTGGCCTTACAAATTATGCTGCAGGTGTGTGATTTTCTTTTGTATAAATTAAAGTTCTTTTTGCTCCATGGTTGAGGATGGTATTCTAACAACCCTTTTGAACACAGCCTATTGTGTTGGACTCCTCTTGGTTCGCCGAACACTGAAGCAACTGGAGATGGATGCTGATTATGAGGGAAATGTTGAGGTATGTATGTGCCATGTTTTTAAAGGTTGGAAGAAATATTGGTTGATTTGTATTTTTGTATTATTGTATGATATTTATTTGTAAATCATGCATGTCATTTTCTCACAGGCAACTGGGGAGGACTTCACTGTTGAACCTGCAGAGACCAGGAGGCCTTTCCGTGCTCTCCTTGATGTTGGTCTTGTCAAAACAACTACTGGAAACCGTGTTTTTGGTGTTCTCAAGGTACAGTGGAACCCATTCCTATATATTTGAGTTTTCGCTGCATTAACATACTTGTCATCATTCATTCATCCACATGCTTCTATATATGAGAATGGTCTTTTGTTGAAGTCAGTGTTCTAATTTCCGGAAATGAAAGAAAACGTATGGTGCATAATGGGGCAATTATTTTATATGATAAAAAATTCTGCAATGAGTAGTTAAGTTTTTCTGTTAAATTAGCAGCTAGCTCATGCTTTCCTGCCTATTTGTTATGAAGAAAACTATTCTTGAATATATCATATTCTAGCTTGTCAATCTTCCACTTATATTTTCTATTCTTATGGTTTTAAAAAGGTTTGTCTTTCTGCTTCATTTTAGGGTGCTTTGGATGGTGGAATTGACATTCCTCACAGCGAGAAGAGATTTGCTGGATTTAACAAGGACAGTAAACAACTTGATCCCGAAGTTCACCGCAAATACATATACGGTGGTCATGTTGCTGCATACATGAGGGTATGATCTAGACTTAAAGATATGATAGTTACAGGGGAGTGATGATGGTGTTGAAGCCCTATCTCTGGGGTTTTTTGTGGGGTGGGGTGATAAAGGGGTCGGAGCTTGGTTATAAGTCTTTTTAGTTTTTTTTGTAAGTCTCACTTTGTCAAGTTTACAGACTTTGATGGAAGATGAGCCTGAGAAGTACCAGTCTCACTTCAGTGAGTTCATTAAGAGAGGCATTGAGCCTGACAACGTTGAGGGAATGTACCAGAAGGTTCACGCAGCTATTCGTGCAAATCCGGAAGCAAAGAAATTGGATAAGGCTCCTCCCAAGGAACACAAGAGGTATTAGCTTATTTATCACTTTCAGCAATTTATTTATTAACATAGTTCAGGCAGCCAATTAAACCAGGCATGGCTGAACAAACTAGCTAGTTATAGATCAAAAGAGAACTTTACATCATAAAAATGGTTTTCAAGAGAATCCATTTCAACATTGTTCTGCACTATAGGTACAACCCCAAGAAGCTGTCATACGAGGAAAGGAAGGCGAAGCTGATTGACAGGCTGAAAGCTCTGAATTCGGCTGCCGGAGCAGATAATGATTCTGATGAGGAGGATTGATTATGCCAAGGGAAAGGAGGAATATGCCGAGTGAATTCAGCATTGGAATTTTGGGCACATCTTTTCTGTTTATTTTTCTTTTGTTTTCCTTCTAGAATTAAGGGGAAAAAAGACTTTTAGGGTTGTGAGAAGTTGTCTTTTTTGCCTGCGGATCATGTTGTTTTGGATTTTCTTCATCGGTGTTATTTAATAGTTTAATTATGAAAGGCACTGTTTTCTAATGGATAAAGGAATGAATAGCCGAATTGGAACTTCAAACTTATTCATATGAAAGAAACATTAAATCAAATTGAATGATAGTTTTTCTTAACAAGTTCTAATGTTTTGAGAAAATAAATATAAATTTGATGTTACATTTGAAGAAATATATACATATCGTATAAGGTTATAGAAAATATAAAAAAAATATGCACATATTCTATATGGTCATAGAAAATTATGTATATCAGTATTAAATAATACAATAACTTACTCTCTTTTCTGCATGTCTCCTGCTCAAAGATTTTTTGTTTGGAAGTTCTTGTGACCGGGAGATATCACTTCATAACAACCCTTGGTATACATGAGAGAAGCTTTTACCCCACAAGAAAAGAACTCTTGAATGAAATAAATTGGTTTGGGAGGGTTGCTCCTTCCTCTATAGTATTTGATTTAAATTAGTTGATCAATAGATTAAATATCAGTGATTAATTTATTTTTATATAAAATACAATAATATTAATAAATTTAATAATTGAATAGTTAAAATATCAATTCTATAAAAATTTACAAATTTTATACTAAAAATAACACACATATATATATACTGAAGACATCAAATTTCGACCGTGGATATTATTTTATATAATATATTTCTTATTATTATTATATTATATAATATACATATCCATTCATTTATTTATTTATAATACAGGCCCAATGAACAAGTTACAAAATGACATGGCCCAGCAGTGGCCCAAATGCAACCCAACTAGATTAGGGTTTTTATTAAACTCTAGCAGCTTCCCCAAGCCAGCGCCGCAACTGTCCCCATGCGAGAGTCCTTGTGTACCACGTCTCATCGGCGCTCATCCCCAGTTCTCTCGGCACCAGCTCCCGAATCCTCCGGTGCAAGTACCATCACCAACAAATAAAGCAGTGTTTTAGTCTATCTAGGACTCAAAATGTAATCTAAAAATAGCCAAATCTGAGGCTATAAATTACATGTAACTAGAACACTCACACACCACGGATTACACACGAAAATACCTAGAGATTGCACGTGAAATACTCAAAATACGCAGGATCCAAGGCTTGTAAACGTTCGAAAAGAAAGAAATAAAGAAAGGTAATACCTTTTTACCTTTAGTTCGACCGATTCTTCCTTGCATGCGTGGTTGCCTTGTTTGCTCGAAAAAAGCAAAAAAAATTAGAGAGTGAGGCCCTTATTTTCAAAAAATATTTCTTAGATCTACTCTTCCCTAAAGCTTGGTTTTTTAAAAAAACTTTGATTTTTGAGAAGTAGAGGAAGAGAGCTTTCGGAAAAAGAAATTTTTTAAACTTTTTCCGCCAATGAACGGCGACCGGCGAGGCGGCACGGTGGCCGGTTTCTGAAAAACCCAACCCTTGTTCATCCTTGGATGACAGATGAGAGAAATCAGAGAAATGGGGAAGGGGGTTCTCGGGCGTGGAAGAAGAGAAATGAGAGTTAAAAATGTTTTTTTGGCTTTTATATTGGCCCATCAGACCGCCTAATCCGACCCATACCTGCATCTGGACTCGCGTGTTTTGCTTCTAAAATGGGGTAACTGCGTTTTGACCCCCTATTTTTAAACAACTCCTATTTTGACCCCAATTTTGCTTTAAATCGATCTTTAACTCTGATTTTCTTTCAATTTAGCCACCCAGCTTGTTTTTTATTCAATTTAATACTTATACTATTATTTTTATTTATTTCATATTATTTAATTTGTTATATATATACGTATTTTCTATATATTTTATTTATATACCTATTATTAATACATATTTTTTAATTTTTTGGTTATTTCTTTATTTAACTACTACATCTTATAATTTTATACATATATATATTTTTTTTATTTTTGCTTTTTATTTATTTTTATTATTATATTATAGTATTTTCATTCATTTATTTTTTTGTTTTCTCTTATATACTGTATTTTCTTCCCCTTTTATACCTATACTATTTATTTATTTTCTTTTCCTTACTTTTATTTATTTTTATCATGAATATTATTTTTTCTACATTTTCCAACACTTTATTTATTTATTTATTTATTTATTTATTTATGTTTCATTATTTTCATTTTGCTTATTTTATTTACTTTCTTATCTTCATTTTATTATTATCATTCCTTTTTAGCTTTATTCATTCATTTATTTTACCTTCTGGGTTTTTTTTATTGTTTTTTTAACCTTTCTATCTAACCCATTCTTGGTTTCTTTAAGGATGATTTCAAACCGATCTAAGGTAAGCAATTAGGATCAAATTTTACTTTTCAATTTAAAATTAAAACTTTCTTAATTAAAGAAAACTGGAAATTATGTAGTACCGAAAGGGCAGTTCAAGGGTGCTAACCCTTCCTTGGCTGTAACCGACTCCCGAGTCCGACATATCTTTGGTAAGACGCAGATCATGTAAGAAATAATGTATCTGATCAACCCATTCGCATTAAAATAAATGATCGGTGGCAACTCCTAATCCATTTTCCAAGTCAAAACCCAATTCGGGGCCCAACCGAAAGACGATTTCGACAGTTTGGCGACTCCGCTGGGGACACAGGTAAGTGAGTCAGGCTAAGGTAATTTCCAGTTATCTTTTTAACGAAAAGGGTAAGTTTAAATTTTAAGGTAACATTTCGATCCTTTTTACTTACTTTTGATTATTTTCGAGTAAATAGTTGTACTAATCATTTTCTAATGATTTCAGCCTTCAAAGATTTTTTCACTTAAGGCTCTAAACCAAGCTCCGAACCCGTTTTAAGTGGGGGTGAAAGTGACGCCTTCGTGTGAATTTATTCACCGTATGGGCCTAACAAGTAGCCTTCGAGATTCATATACCTTATGCCTTCGTGTGAATTTATTCTCCGTATGGGCATAAGGGAATATGTCCTCTCGAGTTTAACTTAGTCCACACAAGCCTGTGACGGGTTTAGGACTAAGGGTCTGGCAAGCCCAAGGGGGCACCGGTAAGGAGAACTCGGGTACCATTTTTTAGAACCTAAACTGGGAGACTATGGAGAAATAGAGCCTACCCCGAAACCCCATTTCAAACCCTAGGACATTTTTACCCTAACCATGTTTTTTTCCTTCTTACTCTTCTTATTTTTCTTTCGTCATTATTTATTTATTTTTTTATTTTACTAACTTGTTTGCCTTTGTGTTTGTTTTTTCAGCATTTGCATCATTACAAGAGACTATTGATCCTTAAAAAATGTTTGTTACACACAAAATAATCTGAATTAATGGACAAAGGTGTTGTAATACAAGAGATTAAAAACCCCGAGGTACAACTATGGTCTGAGGAGACTCAAAAGGAAAAGGGAGACAGTCTTCAAGGAAGTTATGTGTCAGAGCTAGTTAACTACGCCTCTATCAGCCTAAAACAGAACAATGTGTAAGAGCTTCGAGACATCTGGGACAGTTGGAAGAATGATCGGAAACAGAAGTTCAGCCAACGATACGGTGACATTGCACTTTTACTTTATGTTAAGACTGATGAGCCCTTAATCAGAGCCTTGGTTCAATTATGGAACTCGGGAAACAATTGCTTCACTTTTAACCAGGAGGACATGGTGCCCACTATCGAGGAGTACACTACACTACTGCATTATGAAAATATCAAACTAGAGTGAGCCTACATTAAACACATTAAAAGTCAGCCTTTCAAGAATGCATTGGCTAAAGTTACAGGCGTAGACGAGAAATGAGTAATTGACCGGACTTAGCGCAGAGGCAACGGGGAAGGAATTGAATGGATCCACATAAAGCAATTAATGAAGAACCACCCTGATGACTGGAAGACTATAGATTTGTTTGCATTGGGTCTGTACAGTTTAATTATCTTTCCGAAGGCTTTGGGGTGCATTGACGCACTCGTGGTGGAGCTGTTTGAATAGCTTCCAAAACGAGTCAACCCAACATCGACCATCTTAGTTGAGACCTTTCGATCTCTCAACCATTATCGAAGAACTGACTGAGGAAGGTTTATCGGGTGTGTTTAGCTCTTTCAAGTCTGGATTCATAACCACTTTTGGAAGACTAATGGGGTTGCCTACCGCCGATTCAGCACTACCTATTAACCTTTAGGAGAATTCATAACTAGAAAATGGCATGAAGGTATTTCAAAGGAAAAGTGGATGAAAGTCTTTACACATCTTCAGGATCGGGATATTACCTGGAGAGCGCCATGGTTGTTCATCGGTGACGTTTTTTTTCGATGTGGGGATTCTTACACTATGACCTTACTTGGACTTTGGGGTACAGTTGGGTATGCTCCGTTGTTAACACTTAGACAGTATGGGGCACGTCAGTTTGTCCTAGCGACAAGTGGACTAGCTAGATCAGAGTTTGTGTATCATGGTGACAACTACAAGAAGATGATCAAGGAAGCGGATGATTCATGGAAGAAAGTATTCCGGATGGATGTTATAGCTGCCAAAGACATGTTTATTACGGATTATGTGGAGTGGCGAAGATTGAGAAAGAATGATAACGTTCTAGTGCCAGACTGTGAAGACACCCGAATTATAGAGGAACATCTCATGCCTGTCCCTTCTGAACTTGAGATAGCCAAGGCAGAGTTTGAAGCTGTGAATAACGAAATGAGGCAGAGAGTTAAGGAACTTGAAGCTGAATGTTATCAGTAGAAGCTAGATGCTGACTCTCAGAAAGATAAATCAGACAAACTGGAAAGAGAACATAAAAGAGTCCGTTTTGAGCTTGAAGATTTGAGAAAGGGGTATCAAGATAAAGTAAAGGTTAACTCCAAGTTTTAAGTAACCTCTGAATACTTGAAAGACGAAGCTCATAGTCTGAAAAGGAAGTTCGAGGGGCCTGATGAAAGAGCTTGGAAGGAATAACTGAAGATTGCTCAAAGGCGCTTAGCAGACAATCAACATCAGAACCAACGCTTGAGAATCCGGGTGGCTGATCTAGAGGAGCAACATGAAAAGAATAGCAAGACAATAGCTGAGTTAGAA